TGCTTCCATGGCACTCTGTTTATGTCTGTTGTAGCCCTTGCAATTCTTCTATAACTCTTCTGTTTTCTGCTGTATTTTTTTTGACTTTTGCCTCTCTGTTAGGTTTTGACTTTGAGGGGGCAAGGACCAAGTCTTATTTGTATTTGTAGAGTGTTTGGAAAGAGTCTGGAGGAGACTGGGCAGATGACATGACAAACACAGATGGAGGGATTAGATTTGCAAAAAGAATTACCTCTTCCTCTGAAACAAAAGGGAAGGAACTGAAGATGAATAGAAGTAAGAAGGTAGCAAGAATCTTTAAAGCAAAATGGAAGGGGCCAAATCTCAGGGGAGATCTGACTTGAGGCAGGAAGAGTACAGGAAGAAGATGCCATCCAAAGGGATGAGGAGGCTAAGGGAGAGATGGCACTGGTGTGGTCTGAGGGGCTGAGCCTTCTCCTTCTTGGATGTGTGAGGTCTCAGGATGGACCCAGCAGCACTTAAGCTGGAGGAAGGGGTCTTGGGCTGCAGGAAGAAACAGCTTTGTCTCCACCTGGAACTAGGCTGAATGGTCTTGCTCATATCTGAGTCTTTCAGTCCAGCAAGGAGAAGCTGGAGCCATCAGCTGGAGGGAAGAGGGAAGGTTTGTAGTGATGTTAATGAGGAGTGAGAAAGGGTTAGTGGTGGTGGTGGAACCATGCAGAGCTATCTGGGTAGAGGTGCTATGAGAAGGATGGTAGGGAATTCTGACAGCAATACAATCCTCAGAAAGCAGCTGGAGGGGAAGCATTGGTACCTGTGGCTGCACTGCCATTTGTTCCAGTTGGCATCGTACATTAAAGGGAGTCTATGAGTCCTTCTTCCCAGGGTGGTCTGTGGTGCAGGTGGGGCCTTAGAGAAAAGCTATTTGGGCTCGTTCTATTCTAGGCTGTTGGCTTAAGCTTCTTGTATCATTTTATAATCTACCAAGCACCCTTGACAACCATTTTTAGGTGACACTTCAAAAACAACAAGCTAATGTCTCAGTTAGAGTACTTTGATGTAAACAACAGAGATTGTGAGTCATTTAAGAAAAAATGAAATTTACTGAAAGGATACAAAAAGTTGACAGAAAAACTGCAGTGTCAGATATGGAAAATGGGCTGTAACCTAGGCAGGCTCGGCAACGGGAACTACAGCCAAGTCCGTGCCTCAGGTACAGCCTGGCATGGCCACCCTCACCATTGCAGGGCCACCCCCCTCAGCCCCCACCAGGGCCCCACTGCTGTTGGATACCTACCGTCTCTGTTGCTATGAATAATTCTAAAATTGTCTGTATGTTTTCATGTCACTTGCTGAAGATGCCAACCTCAGAGAAGAGTGGCCAGGTGGCTGAGCCTGGGTCACGTGTCACGTGTCATGTTCTAGCTGTTAGGGGGCAGGGAGAAGAATATCCCTTCAGCTTCAGCTTCCCTAGCCTCATCAATACTATACAGAATGGGGAATTCCCCAAATAGAAAGGAGGTTTGGGCCAGGCATGGTGGCTCATGCCTGTAATCCCAGCACTTTGAGAGGCCAAGGCAGGCAGATTGCTTGGGGTTAGGAGTTCGAGACCAGCCTGAGCAACATGGTGAAATTCCGTCTCTATAAAAAATATGAAAGTTACCAGGGTGTGGTGTCATGTGCCTGTAGTCCCAGCTACTCAGGAGGCTGAGGCGGGAGGATTGCTTGAGCCTGGGAGGCAGAGGTTGCAGTGAGTCGTGATTGCAGATTGCATCACTGCCCTCCAGCCTGGGCAAAAGAGTGAGATCCTGTCTCAAAAACAAACAAACGAAAAAAAAAAAAAAAAAAAAAAAAGAAAAAAAAGAAAGAAAAAAAAAAAAAAAGAAAAGAAAAGGAGGTTTGGATGCGTTTTTGTCAGTTGTCAATTTTCATCACAATCCCAGGCTGCTAGGTTTGAAACTTTAGAATCATCCTCATTGCCATTAGCTTCCCACATAGTGAGTGACTCTCCAGATTTCTTAGGTGTGCCTTGCTCTGTGTCACCACTATTGCTTTTACTAAGATTACTCAGCAACGGCATAGAGGAGAGAAGAGGCTGGAAATCGGAAGTTGGACTTCTACAATGTTAGTGCTGGAACGGTCCTTTGAATTTATCTACTGTAGTGGTCTTACCTAGGAGTATTTTTTACAATTCTTATGGCACAAAAAAAAAAAAAAAAAAAAAATTCACATCCTGGTATCCCCCACCTGGGTTTCTGGGTTCACTAGATCTAAGGTGGGACTTTGATATATACAGGTTTCTGAGGTGCGTCCCAGGTTGAGAACTGATGAATTTCAATACTCTTGTTTTTTTTTTTTTTTTTTTTGAGACGGAGTCTCGCTCTGGCCCAGGCTGGAGTGCAGTGGCGCGATCTCAGCTCACTGCAAACTCCGCCTCCCGGGTTCACGCCATTCTCTTGCCTCAGCCTCCCGAGTAGATGGGACTACAGACACCTGCCACCGTGCCCGGCTAATTTTTTGTATTTTTAGTAGAGACGGGGTTTCACCGTGTTAACCAGGATGGTCTTTGATCTCCTGACCTCGTGATCCGCCCACCTCAAGCCTCCCAAACTGCTGGGATTACAGGTGTGACCCGCCGCGCCTGGCCTTCAATACTCTTGTTTAAAAGATTGAGGCCCAAAGGGAAGTTAGCTGTTTGAAATACAGCTGCACCGGGTGCCGCCACTCGCTGTGCAGAGGCTATGCTCAACTCCCGCTGACGCAGCGGGCAAGGGTTGGGCTGAGCCCGCCGTCAGGCCCGTGACGACTGCCAGGCCAATGCAGAGATGCTGGGCGAGCTCGCCCAGATATCCTGGCTTCTGGTCCAGTTTTACTCAGACCTCTTGCTTTTTCCCTCTGCTAAGGGAAATTTTCTATATTTATTTGTATCCAAGAAAGCATGCTATGTTTCTGTGGCTCAGTTCCTCCAACAGTAAACAGATTAAAAGATCCAAGCCATCGAGAGTGAACAGCCTGCACAAACAGCCCCATTTCTAATGATGGTTGGCTTGATCTCTGGATCACAGATCTCCTTTGTCAGAATCCGGGAAAAATGTCTTCAAGAACCTTAAGTTGGGATGGAAGTCCGGACGACCCATGGATAAAGGACAGCCCAGCCAAGGCCATACTTCTTTGTCTGGCAGGATTCTGTCTGGGCCTCTGTGCAAATAGGTCTTTGTTTCAATCACTCATTGGCCTTTCTTCAACTCTTGACTGTCGTTTGGCCATCTGATTCTTATCTTGGGAATACATCTCTCTCTCTCTCTTTTTTTCCCCCTGCTCTCTGAGTTAACCAATCATTCAGCACTGGATTGGTTTACCACTAGCTCTGTACAATCTCATCAAAACCCAGGGCTTCTGATGCCTTCTGTTATACTTATATTACGTTGATTTTTTTTTTGTTTGAGACAATATCTTGTTCTGTTGTCCAGGCTGGAATGCAGTGGTGTCATCATGGCTCACTGCAGCCTTAACCTCACAGACTCCAGTGATCCTCCTGCCTCAGCCTTCCGAGTACAGGTGAGTGCCACCATGCCCAGCTAATTTCTGTATTTTTTGTAGAGATGAAGTTTCATCATGTTGCCCAGGCTGGTCTTTAACTCCTGAGCTCAAGCAATCTGCCTGCCTCATCCTCCCAAAGTGCAGGCATGAGCCGCCGCCCCCAGCCTATGTTGCTTTTTTACTTTTCTCTCTTTACAAAACTCGTGTTATCCTATAAAGATTTCCACCAGGAAATGTCATTTATTTAATGCTTTCCTGCTCCAAATCTATCCTAGGGCAAAGAAAGCAAAGAATGGGAGAACTACTGCAGCAGAACCACCTTTCCATTAGAGAGGGGTCATTCTTTCTCCTGTAACCTCTGCATCCAGAAAGGGCGCTAGCATCAAAGTCCAAGCACCTCTTCCTAGCTCAAGCAGGAGTAACACAGTCAGAGTTGGCCTTTAGGAAGCAACTCGAAGAGTGTGGAGGATGGATTAGAAGAGAGGTTGAGAGAGGGGAGACAATCAATCTTTGGCAGCTACTGCAGTAATCTAGGTGAGAGATGATTAGACCTGAATTGGGCAGTGGGAATGGGATAAAGAGGTGGGGAAACAGTCATTTTGATAGTGGAATTGACAGGACTAAATAACTGATGGTTTGTGGAGATAAGGGAGAAGTTCAAGATGGCTAGGTTTGGAGCTTGAGTACCTGGGAGGATGGGACCTTTCACAGAATGAAGGAAATAAGAAGAGCAGTTTTGAAGAGAGGATGGGAGACAGTGACATTAGTTTTGTACATGAGGGATGTAGGGATCTAAGAGGATGTTTCCATCAGGCAGTTGAATATGGAGGGCTGGACTCAGGAGGCCTGGGCTGTCTTCTGGGAGCTCCTGAGGGAAGAAAATGTGGACCAGGGCAGCACGCAGACTGAGAAGGGGACTGAGGCCTGAGCCTAGAAGTACACCCACATGGAAGCCCCAAACACGGGAGACTGAGAAGGAGCCAAGGGGCTCGGAAAAAACCAGGGAAGTGTGGTTTTACCAGCCAAGGGGCACAGTTTCAGGAAGGGACATGGAGAGAGAGGATGAGGAGGTAGCACTGACAAGAGGCTGCTCCTTTTGGCAGCTACCACGGTGGCCCTGGTTTCAGTCGCAAAGCTACCTCCATCCTTAGGAGAGAGCTCAGGCCCTCACATCAAATGAACACTAAGGCAGGTTTCTGAGTAACTCACATTCTCCTCAGTTATCAAGGCATTACAGGATAAGTAAACCAAAGTTTAACATCGTTCAGAATAGCCAATAAAGCCCCTCAGTTCCCACCTCTTTCAGTTCAGTAAAAGGAAACTGCAAGGACTTTTTGAGAGTGCGGCTGATGACCGGATATATAAATAATAATAAATATTAATGAAGTATCCCCTGTGGCCAATCAGGTTTGGGGAGAACTCGCTTTGGGCTCACGGAAGCCTCGCCCCTCATGAATATGTAGATAGCGCTGCCCACCGCGCAATGCCCCGCCCGCCACTCTTCTCCCTCGCAACCGACTCTCCCTTCAAACGGGAAACAAGATGGCGGCTGCAGGTCCGAGTACTCGGGCCTCTTCCGCGGCGGCAGCGGCCGCTCTGAGTCGGCGGGGCCGGCGGGGCCGCTGTGACGAGATGGCGGCAGCTAAGACTGGAGCCCCAGGCCCGGCTTCTGGACCTTCGCTGTTGGTGTTGTCCCCGCCGTTGCTGCAGCCGCCGCTGCCGCCGCGGCCGGAGGAATCGGGCTGCGCCGGGTGCTTAGAGCCCCCGGGGGAAGCGGCGGCCCTGCCGTGCGGCGACTCGCTGTGCCGAGGCTGCTCCCAACGCGCCGCTGACGCGGCGGACCTGGGTTGCCCTCGCTGCCGCGCCCGCGGCCCAGGGTGGGCCCGCCGTCGGGCCCGCGACGACGGCCAGGCCGACGCAGAGGCGCTGGACGAGCGCTGCCGCCCGCGCCGGGACGGGGGCGCGGCTGCCGTGGGGCCCAGGCCAGACCAAGAGCCGCGTGCCGCGCCTGCGGAGCCAGGTGGAGCTTCCCCACTTCCCCTAGGGGTCTGGAGCGAGGCCGAGCGCGCCCTGCCCCGGCCTGGTTAGGGGGTGGAGAATCCCGGGCCCTACTCGGGCGGGTGTGGAGAGTTCTCGTGGGATTGGAACCCGGGCTCTGCCCAGGTGCAGTGTGTTTGTGAATTTTGAACTTCAGAGTTAAGGACGGGCACGTTGCATGCGGAGGGGCGGTGAGGGCTCCCGGCACCTTACGTAAGTCCGAAGTTTGGAGGGAAGCAATTGTTGGAACAAGTTAGGGGCAGGTTGGAATTGGTGTGTGGGAGTGGGAGGGGCCTTGGATCAGAGAAGTGCTTGGTTTAATGTTGCTTGAAGAGTTTGGGGGTCATATTGCTTGGAGAGATGTGGCTCCTGGCCCTGAATGGGTCAGTGAAGGGTGTGGAGAATCCGGAGTTTAGGGGACAGGTTGAATTTGAGGATGTGAAGGGAGCTTTTCAGACTCGAGAGCAGAGGGGGTTGGGAGCACACATGTGCTGTTGTTTTCATACATCTTGGAAAATGCATGCTTAGCACACAACTTGGCACATAGGAGGAGTAAGTGACTGCCGTTTATATTGGTAATACTACTATTACTAAGTCCAGTAGTGCCCAACAAAACTGGCTTGGGTTTAAAAGTTTTGGAAACAAAGATTGGGTTGGCAGGGGCTGCTTCGATCTCCTTGGCAGAGTGAGTTTCCTGCTGGCTTGCTGGCAATTAAAAGTCTGTTGTAGGACTCTTGCCTTGAACTTCTTTCCATTAACACCAGCAGCTCGGTTCTGACCTTTTAGATAGAAAAGTGCCCTGTATAAAATAAAACAAGACTGTTATAACTTAGGATCCTTTTGGGGACACACCCAGTCAACATCTACAGCTCTGTTTGATAAAAAATGCTTATCTTGAATGAGATTTTCAAGAAACATAAACCAGGAGAGGCCAGATATTTGCACCTTCTGTTTTGGGAATTCTACCATGTGTTATTTTCGGCAGGGAAAGAGAGGCATTGCTTGTGTATACAAGTGCAGCGTCTAGAAACCACAGGTTCTAGAATGCACTCTGTTTTGATTCAAGCCGCCAGAGACACCTGTCACTATGCTAGGATATCGGGCTATTTTATTCCTGGGATTGAGGGGGACCTGCATCTTTCTATGTTCCTTGTCACTCCTTTTTTTTTTTTTTTTTTTGAGACCGAGTCTCACTCTGTCGCCCAGGCTGGAGTGCAGTGGCGCAATCTCTCAGCTCACTGCCACCTCTGCCTCCCAGGTTCAAGCAGTTCTCCTACCTACGCCGTGTAGCTGGGACCACAGGCACGCACCACCACGCCTTGCTAATTTTTGTAATTTTAGTAGAGACGGGGTTTCGCCATGTTGGCTAGACTGGTCTCGAACCCCTGGCGTCAAGTGATCCGCTCACCTCTGCCTCCCAAAGTGTTGGGATTACAGGTGTGAGCCACCATGCTCAGCCCTCGTTATTCCTTTTAAGCTTCACAACATTCCTATGAGATAAGTACTTTTATTTCCATTTTGAGGTCCAGAGAGGTTGAGTAACTTGCGTAAGGATGAAAACCCAATTCTATCCTATTCCTGCTCAAACCAGGGATAAAACCTTCCCCAGATGTCCTTATTTTTGTGGATGTGGTGTGATGGTTTCATATGCTACTTAATTTGCTTTAAATTCTGAGGTTATGGTCACAAGATAAGACAGTATTTCTCTGGTCTCCCTATTAGTACCAGTGATTATATGGCCATGTAGGATAGAATTTTTCTTTTTTTTTTTTTTTTTCCGAGACAGAGTCTCACTCTGTCGCCCAGGCTGGAGTGCAGTGGCACGATCTCTGCTCACTGCAAGCTCCGCCTTCCCGGTTCATGCCATTCTCTTCAGCCTCCCGAGTAGCTGGGACGACAGGCGCCTGCCACCATGCTCAGCTCATTTTTTGTATTTTTAGTAGAGACGGGGTTTCACCATGTTGGCCGGGATGGTCTCCGTCTCCTGACCTTGTGATCCGCCCGTCTCAGCCTCCCAAAGTGGTAGAATTACAGGTGTGAGCCACCACGCCCAGCCCAGAAATTTTCGTTTTGATTTCTAAGCTTGGAGACCGTTGTGAAATATCAGTTCTGAATTTGAACCATGAGAGGGAGTTTGGCTTGATGATTTGTGCAAACTTTTTCCCTTGAAAAAGTTTTTGTCATAAAATTTATCAGTGATTAAGGGAAATTATCTAAAATGAGATTTCAAATTAGAATCTATTGAGTCACTTAGTATTCATCAATTACTTTATATGTTTATTGAGGACCAAAATGAAAAATGTTTTTCTTAAATGTTCTTCTTGTTGGATTGTTTCGTGTATACAGTTATATGCTTACTCAGTGGAAGAATTTTAGAATACAAAAATATTTCCAAAAGGCTTAGGAAGTATCTTTTAGCTTCAGTGTGTTGTCTGATCCTCTTGAAGTTATATACAGTATTTTTAAATTAAACATTTTAATAGGCAGTGCATTCACAGGATTCAAACAAAAATGTAACAAAGTATACAATGAAAAGATTCCCTTTGGCCGGGTGCGGTGGCTCAGGCCTGTAATCCCAGCACTTTTGGAGGCTGAGGTGGGTGGATCACAAGGTCAAGAGATCGAGACCAGTCTAGCCAACATGGTGAAACCCCATCTCTACTAAAAATACAAAAATTAGCTGGGCATGGTGGCGCGTGCCTGTAGTCCCAGCTACTTGGGAGGCTGTGGCAGGAGAATCTCTTGAACCCGAGAGGCGGAGGTTGTAGTGAGCTGAGATCGCGCCACTGCACTCCAGCCTGGCGACAGAGAGAGACTCCATCTAAAAAAAAAAAAAAAAAAGTTTTACGCCCTTATTTCTCACTCCCATCGAAGATTCTTGGGCTGGGCATGGTGGCTCATGCCTGTAAATCTAGCACTTTGGGAGGCTAAGGCGGGCGGATCAGTTGAGGTCAGGAGTTCAAGACCAGTCTGGCTAACATGGTGAAACCCTCTCTCTACTAAAAATACAAACATTAGCCAGTTGCGGTGGTGCACGCCTGTACTTCCAGCTACTGGGGAGGCTGAGGTAGGAGAATCGCTTGAACCTGGGAGGCAGAGACTGCAGTGAGCTGACATCAAGCCACTGTACTCCAGCCTGGTGGCAGAGCAAGGCTCTGTCTCAGAAAAAAAAAAAAAAGATTCTTGTTTGTTCTTCCACAGTTTATGGATCTACGTGAAAATTCAAGTACACTTATTTTTTGCCATTTTTATACAAAAGGTTGTATATTATACACACTGTTCTGTTAACTTTTTTTTTTTTTTTTTTGGTTTAACAGTACGTCATCAAAGTCCATAGCAGTAGGTTGTGTGGAATTTTACTGAATGGATATAGCATAATTTACTTAACCACCTATTGGTGGACATTTTGGTTGTTTCCTGTCTTTTGCTATTATAAATAATGGTTTATAAATAATTATGTAAATGCATATGTGCATTTTTATGGAGAAGTCACCAGTAGCTTTCACCAGAATCTGAACCATTGTTTTAATCTACATCTCTCATTCTACAGAAGAGAAAACTGAAGCCCAGAACAGATAAGAGAGTAAGGGTTTACATGAGTTAATAGTAGATTAAAAAAAGGGTCAACAGAAACAGCCTAGTTCACAGTGAAATGTTCATAATAGCTTTAATAAAGAAAACTAATAATACCAGTTTTATAAATATTTACAATGTACTTTTATGAGTGGAAACAGCAACAGAATTACTAGATTGGCACAAAAGTAATTATGGTTTTTGCCATGACTTTCAATGGCAAAAACCAAAATTACTTTTGTACCAGCCTAATAGCAATTTTAGTAATATTCGGAGATATATTGCTTAGTTGTACTCTCATCACATAGTTGGATCAATTGATAAAGGAAATGTCAGGCCTGCTGGAAATGAAATTTTGTAGTAAATGCACTGGTATTTAAGTGAAGTTCTTAATTTTTTTTTTCTTTTGTTGAAGTCCAGTGCCTTTTAGGAATTGCTTTGTCTGGAAAAAGTATAAAGAGTTTGTGCTTTGTTGAAAATTTTGGTTGCGCTTGTGACATTTTTTGTTCTTTACCAGCCTTTTTGGCAAACTTTAAGGTTCAGAACCTTAATGACCCCTGTGTATGTGTTTTATTTAATTCTTCTATGCATTAACAGTTTGCTTTTGGATATAGTATCAGTTCTTGTTGATTTGTGAAACTGTGTGTGTAAGGGCTACATCAATGATCATTTCAGAATGAACTCAGACTTCAACTTCATATTCTTTAAGGATCTACAACTCATTGTATATATTGACATATTAAATATTTGGACCATTTTGAGCAATATTCAGGAATTGTGTAATAAGTGCCTACTCTGTGCCAGGTCTTTGGGAAACATTAGTGAATGAAATATTAAACATCTCTCTCTCATGGAGCTTATATTCTAAATTTAGAGACATTTCTTATCTGTTGATTTAAAAAACATACCATACAGGCTTACATAGGTAGATTTTGAACTGTACATCGCAGCCACACTTAAGTTTCATTTAAAAATGATTAATGGATTTTAAGAATTCATTTAGTCTGTTTAAAATCAAGTATGATTATTCCAAATCATACTGCTTTTGAATTTGAAACCAAGACCTTTTTACTTTTTTGGATTCTTTTTCTTCTGCTGTGGGTAATGACTGAAGAAAAGCTAGACAAAGGCTGGTGAATCTTTTAAATTGGCAGTTTAAATTTTTTTCTCTTCGTGGTGTTGAAAGTGCTTTTCAGAAATTGAATAGATAGGCCAGGCGCGGTGGCTCACATCTGTAATCCCAGCACTTTGGGAGGCAGAGGTGGGCAGATCACTTGTGGCCAGGGGTTTGAGACCAGCCTGGCCAACATGGGGAAACCCCGTCTATACTAAAAATACAAAAATTAGCCAGGCGTGGTGGTGCATGCTTGTAGTCCCAGCTACTGGGGAGGCTGAGGCAGGGATGCGGAG